CACATAGCGGGCTCGGCGACAAGTTATTTGATGTGTGTGTCTGAACCTATGAACCGTCAGACACAAAAAACGAGGAGCTCGGCCCAAAGAAGATCAAATATCTCCTCCAGACGGGGTGGGTCGGCTCCAATGGCTCTGCACTGCTGACAATGTTGGTACACTACTGTTGTAACTTTCTTTCCATTTCATTTTTGAATGACGTCACGGTAAAAAAAAGGCGCGCACCGCATGGGGGAAGGTGGGGCACTGCAAAACAAAAACATGAATGGACGAACAAGCACACACACCAAGGCAACATTGGGGCTATCAAATTTATTGCCAGCAGCCAACCACGACAAACAGCATGTCAACAAGACATCCTTTCCCCTCGCGTCTGAACTTGTTGTCACTCCTTTTGGGCAGATGACGTCGCTCGTGTTATGGCCGCGGCGGCAAACACCGATGCTGGTATGGATGGCCGAGTGTCTTTCGACCAGTTTATTCGCCTCTTGGAGCAGGCGGGGCCAGCGGGGCCGCTAGAGGGGCCTGATCCGAAGGTATTTCACACGACCGGGTCCGCAACAGCATCTGGTTGAAGTATTGAAACGAACGTACGGGTGCACTCGAGGGGACGTGCCTGATGACTGATTTCGTCTGACGGCTGATTTTTGCTTGAGGGCAAAATTGTCTAGTCTTGGCAGTGTTTAAACGTTAGACTGCACAAGGACTGCATGCTGGTGGAAAGAGCAAAGGGTTGGAAACCTCATCTTCCCGAATGGATGGATTTTGTTTCGACGCAATAACCCTTCGCCACACCCACGCCATCTCATCCATTCCTATTTTGCCACAACACACGGCATGAACCGGCAGGTCATGGAGTTCTTGCGTATTTTGGAGGAGTACCGGGTGAAGTGCGAAGAGGGCGGGGACTACCTCGAAGCGGGGAGGGCGCAGCGGCAGCTGGATGTGCTCCGTCGACAAGAAACGAGACGGCAGCAGAAGGCTGTGCGGGCGAGGCAATTGTGCGAGAGGCAGGATGTTCAGGTGCAGAGGAAATACTGTCAATTTTGCTTTTGATTTCGGTTAAGGTGTGTGTGTGCAAGGTCTACTGCAGCTTCTGGTACTGTAGGACTAGCTTAAACCTGGCTGTGTCTGGGTTTCAGCACCTTCCAAAACTACGCAAACACATATGGATCCTCGATAGCCGGCCGAACATCTCCAACGCAAGAGTTGTGAGTCGATACGTACCAACAACGGTGACGCCGACCCAACCAATCAACATGCCAACAAACCACAGTCAACCTTGATGTATGCCCTGGCCAACCAAAATACCAACAAACCATAGTCAACCTTGATCTATGCCCTGGCTATCCTTAACCCCTACTTTGAACCCCCCTCTCCCCTACGAGCATATTAATATCTGTACGATGCGTTCAGTCTGGAGATACAGAAAGGAGCATGTTTTGACTTCGACGGGTGTTTCTTTTATGACAGTACCAGCCCATGTAAATTGCCATTGATTGCCCCCCACATTCGTGATTCTGATCAGTAACACAAAGATATGGCGGTACCCAACGCAGCGCCTCAAATGTACTCCCTTTGCTCCCCGTTCTGGTAGCCTTTTAAAGACCGAGAAGCATGAAACAGACACCCGGTGGAGCGTGCTAACCCTCAGAGTACCTTGAAACGCCGTTTCTTACGCTTATCGAAGCACCCCTCCTTGCCTTTTGACACTACACGTTGGGATCCTTTTGTATGCAGGGAGTGGCTGATCGACCTCCAGCACTGAAGACTCTTTGACCCCCTTTGACTGGTCTCCATGCACAGGTAGCCCACAACATGCAGTTTCAGGACTTCAACGCGGCGTGGAATAAGTATCTGGAAGAGTACGACCGCATGGCGCAGATGTACGTTCAGCAGATGACAGAGAGACACGCCGTGGGCCTTATGGAACACCAGAGGAAGCTGCAGCAGGAGCTCCGAGACAAGCCGCCGAAATGGTCAAAGGTGACACGAGCAACGATTATTGGAAAGAAAGCAACCGTACCATTCATGTGTCATGTGAGACAAACAATGTATTGCATATAACCTGCTTACTCAGCCGCTGGAGTCCGCACGACGTGTTCTTCGGAGCATGATGAACCCCACTGCTGTGTACGATCGCACACCACACGCCTTCCAGCGTACCAGATCTGTCCCAACATTGTTGAAAGCCTAGGCTGACACAACACAAGAATCGATATACATGTAGTTTCTCGACATCACCACTCCAGGAACATTCGCTATCGGTCCCGCCATGGGCGTTGGCCTCGACTCAGTCAATCCGTCGGTCGTTCAACCCGGATCAAGGTTCCCCGGCTTCGTACTCAAGGTTACCGTAAGCTCTTGCATAGATGGAGATGGATTCGTTGTGACATTTTTTAGAAAATAGAAAGGCAAGGCGGATTACACTACCCTTCTGCATGCCGTCAACCTTATTCCTACTTTGCTTTTACGCCGGTTGCACGAAACCATGGCTGGCTGTTAACTGTAGCATTTACCACCAGGAAGCACAAAATGTAAAACACGAGCGGGTGATGCTTTTCCTTAACATCAATAATCGCGATGTTGTCTAATTGTGTAATGTTGTCGAATGCAGGGCAACTTTTGCGCAGACCAGAATACTCTCCTGTTTTAAGCCTCTCGAGTGTTTAGAACAAAATCCGCCACGTCGCAAACATTACAAACACCTCATCGGCCTTTTGGCTAAGATCATGTGTAGTTTCTGTTCTAATCAGTTTGAAAAATGTTCGACGTGCAATATGAGTATCATTATCACCACCGCTACCTGTTTTTGAAATCGCCGGGTTCGCACTACTTGCGGTGTTGCAGCAGGATTTCCTAGGCACTCCACATTACCAAAAAGAAACAAACAAACAACACACATCAACCGACACCCACACGAACACCACCAATGCCGCACCACCAGTAAACACACAACAACTACCTACATTTATTTTCGAATGTTTTTTTTGTTGTTAGTGCTGCTGCTGGTGGTACGACACCGACCGGCTTAATATATAGCTACTACGACACCCACCACCCGGCTTCCGTCGCCATGTTGTTGTTGTTGTTGTCTTCACATTAAAAACCATCCCGGTCTCTCTATCCAGTACCTCCTTCTGTCTCAATCTCTCCGTACTAATCCATCACTTGACTCGGCCAATTTCCGTGGTCACAGGCTAACGTACCTAGAAAAGGTATACCAAAATAAAATGGACCCCAAGG